GTTTTTCGCGTCTTTGTTTTTTGAGTTCTTTATATATTCTGGATGTTAAACCTCTGTCAGATGTGTCACTGGTGAAGATTTTTTTCCCATTGTGTGGGCATGTCCTACCACACCCAGCTAAAAATATTTTTATGTATTTAGCTTGCAATGGCCATGGACGTCAGAAGAGGATGTCAGAGCCCCTGAACTGGAGTTTGGACAGTTATTAGCTGCTGTGTGGGTACTGAGAATCAAACCCAGGTCAGGTCCTCTGCAAGAACAGCCAGTGCTCTCTCAACTGATGAGCCATCTCTCCAGCCCGACTCAGCATTCTTAATGACACTGGAGCAGGTGAGTTAACTGCATTATATGAGGCACCACAAATTCCTGATGCTCATGCCACTTCTGGCTTGCTCTACGACAGAAAATCCTGTTCCGACTTCGGAAACAAGAAAGGCAGGTTTTTAGAGCACACCAACAGCAAGCAAGAAGGAACTGGGAGGGGAGCAACTGCTGTAGGAAATCACGATTAGAAAAATCTTGATTCATGCCTGCAGGATTGGCTAAGCAAAGCTCCACACTGGCAAACTGGCCACCCAACTTCACCAAACATCAGGAACAAGGCAGGGGCTGGGGAGATGACTCAGTGGTTAAGAGCAGTTGCTTCTCTTCAAAGACCTGAGTGTGGTTCCCAGCACATCAGGCAGCTCACAACCACCTATAATTCCAAACCTGGGGGGATCCAGTATCATCTGGCCTCTACAGGCCTGTAATTCAAGCTTCAGAAGGCAGCAACAGCATTCTCAGAGCTAGCTGGCTATGACTAGCCACGTTGGTGATCTCTGGGTTTGCTGGAGACCTTGCGTGGTGGTTTGAATGAGAAACGTGCCCCATAGACTCAGATACTTGAACACTTGGTCTCCAGTTGGTGGTGCTGTTTGGGCAAGTTTAGAAGGTGCAGCCTTGCTGGAAGTCACTGGGCACAGGCTGTTTATAGCTTCACTCCATGTCTAGTCCACTCCTGCTTCCTGTGTGGGGTTGAGACATAAGCTCTCAGGTTTCTGCTCCTGCCACAGTGCCTGTGTGCCACCATACCTTCCTGCCACAATGGACTCACCCCTCTGGAACCATAAGCCAAATAAACTCCTGTAAGTTGCCTTGGTCATGGTGTTTTATCACAACAGAAAAGTAACTAATACATCCTGCCTTAATGAATAAAGTGGAAGAGTGATGGAGGATTCCCAACATCAACCTTGTGCTTCCAGAGTGCATCCATATGCTCACCACCCCCCCTTCCACAAACACATGCTTACCACACATAGGCATGAACATGGAAAAATGAAAACAGGAAAAATGGGGCCGGCTCCTGTCTCAGGGTCAGCCTCAATAGCAAAGGTGATGTTAAGATCCATCAGTTGGGGGTTGGAGAGATGGCTCAGCAGTTATGAGCAGTGGTTGCTCTTGCACAGGACCTGGATTCAATTCCCAGCACCCACATGGCAACTAACAACCGTCTGTAACTCCAGTTCCAGGGGAATTGGACACTCTCTTCTTACCTCTGTGGGTACTGCATGACACTGGTGTACTTACACACATCTGAGCAATACACTCACACACACAAAATAAAAATTAAAAAAATAGCCGGGCGTGGTGGCGCACAGCTTTAATCCCAGCACTTGGGAGGCAGAGGCAGGCGGATCTCTTTGAGTTCAAGGCCAACCTGGTCTACATAGTGAGTTCCAAGCCATCTGGGGCTACAGGGAGATCCTGTCTCAAAAAGACCAAAAAAATTTAAAAAATAAAATCTTAACATTTTAGATGCAATAGTAATACTGTCTCCAGTCTTTTCGGGCTGTAAGATGCCCTAGTCTGGGTAGCTTATATACAACAGAGCTTTATTTCTCACAGTTCTGGAGGTCCACAAGTCCAACATCCAGAAGACGGCAGGTAGGTCTAGAGTTCGGGGAGCCCATTGCCTGGTTCCCTGCCAGAGTCTTGCTGTGTCCTCAGGTGGCAGAGGGTAGAGCTGTTCTCTCCTAAGGGCACTAACCCCAGGACTGAGTTCCTCCCTCACGCTGGAGTGTGGCCAAAGGTCACACCTCCTGACCCCAGCACACTGGGGAGTTTTTGGATTTATAGATAGCAATATTCAGCCCTTAGCAGTTTCCTGTCTCAAATGCCCTTGTCTGCAGATGCATGCAGAGGTACGGACTTTGCCGTGAAGGGGTTCATGAATGTGGAGGGACATGGAAAGGATCCCTGCTGGCCACAGCACCCAACTACTGGGCTGTCTAGACTGCCTTCACTTGTCATTTTAAAATTGGGCCAATGGGGGCCAAAGCAGTGGCTCAGCAGTTATGAGCCCAGCACCCACACTGGGTGGCTCACAAGCGCCTTTAACTCCAGCTCCAGGGTATCTGACACCCTCTTCTGGCCTCTGTGGGCACTTTCATGCACTATGCACAAATATTCACACACAAAATCTTACAGCACTCGGAAGGCAGAGGCAGGCAGATCTCGGTGAGTTCAAGGCCAGCCTGGTCTACATAATGAGTTCCAAACCAGCTGGGGCTACAGGGAGACCCTGTCTCAAAAAAAACAAAAGGGGGGGGGGGCAAATAAAAAACATGACAAGTTGTATCATCTAAGAAACCTGAAGTAGGTGGGAGCAATGGTATGGGAATCCCTAAGCATCAGGCCGCCTTCCAGTTGTCTCCACTTGGTCCCCTTGTGGTCCCATCACAACCAGCCAGGAAGAAGCATCAGGAAGGAAAGGCAACATCTTGCCACCATTTTTTTTTTTTTTTTAAACACTGCCTAGGCTGCTTAACTCCTGGCTCAAGCCATTCTCCTGCTTCGGTCTGGGACTACAGGTGCTCACTCAGCCTGGTGTCCTAGAGGGACACTGCACACAAAGCAGTTTTCTGAAGACAGGTTTGGTGCCACATGCTTGTCATCCCAGACATTTTGGAGATTAAGGAAGTTCAAAGTCAGTCTAAGTAGTAAAATTAAGGCATTTTGGAAATGCAGCTCAGAGCTAGAGTGCTTGCCTAGAATCCCCAGAGCCCTGGGTTCCATCCTCAACGCCACAGAAAAAAATAGAAAGGACCTTTCCATCCAGGTGCGAGAGTCCAGGATCGCACTTAGCTGCAGGAGACAGGAAATGGAATCTTTATCCTGGGCAGCAACATTTCTAAAAACCAGGTTTCTATTACTACGAGGCAAAGGGTAACAAGTTTGGAGTAAATCATGCAGTGTCTGCTGGAGTTCCCATCACTTCAAGATGGTAAGGGGCCTGTGGGCACCAGAGACTGGTGCTCATGGCTAGCAGCCACCAGTGCTGTACAGCTGGTGGGCCTGATGCGGGCTAAGTAAGCTTATAATTTACATATACAATCAAACAGTCAACACCCTCATGATGCTGGCTGGTCTAGCTATCTCTACTCTCCCATGCTGTAGTGGTCACTTATGGGCAGGTGGGTGCTGCCACCTGGGATATCCATGACATTTCCTAGATGCAGCTAACAGCAACCTAGCATGTGGTCCCAGTCTGCCCAGGCCTGATGCTTGCTTGGCCAGTGCATGAAATGGGGAAACCTGCCACTTCTTGACAGCTGAGCTGCCTCAAGGCCAATTGGCAGTGTCCACGAAGTGGCCACCATGGTCCCACTGGACAACCGGAACCCCAACTGCCTTGGGCCTGGCACATTAACACATCAGCTCTCAGGAGGTAGAGGTTGGAGACTCAGGGGTTCTAGGCTAGCCTAGGCTATAGTCATAGTAGATTCCAGGCCATCTAGGATTTTTGAGACCCTGTATCAATAAAATAAAAATAAAATAGGGCTGGAGAGATGGCTCAGCAGTTAAGAGCACTGCTGCTCTTGCAAAGGACCTGGGTTTGGTTCCCAGCACCCACATGGCAGCTAACAATCATCCCCAGTTCCAGGGGACCCAATGCCTCTGCTGGCCTCTGTGAGCACTGCACACACACACTTGCATACATGCAGGTAAAACACTTCACAAAGTTGAACTGTTTTCTAATTTAAAAAAGAAAACAAAAAAGGCCACCTTTAATCCCAGTACTCGGGGAGGCAGAGGCAGGTGGATCTCTGTGAGTTCAAGGCCAGCCTGGTCTACATAGTGAGTTCCAGGATAGCTGGGGCTACAGGGAGACCCTGTCTCAAAAAGACCAAAAAAAAAAAAAAAAAGAAAAAGAAAAAAAGAAAAGCATACTTTTAGTTGATTTTGATTTTTATGTCTTTTCTGTGCTGGGGTCAAACTAGATCCTTGTACCTACCAGACACATGCTAACATGAAGCTGCACGCCCAGCTGAGTTTTAGCAGAAATATCTCACTGTCTCACTGCTGTTAACTTGAAAGATGGTATATCTTCTGATCTAGGGAGGAGCTGAAAAACTGGGTAAGAGCCTGCCAAAGACTGAGCCTGGTGCCTGCTCCCCTTGTTCAAGTCAAGGTACTATGACTGGCCTGGCTCCATGCTAGCACCTCCAGGAACACTTGGAAGATAAGGGAGCTCTGAAAGAATTTCTTCCTAAACCAGGTGTGGTGGTATATGCCTTTAATCCCAGCACTCTAGAGGCAGGAGGATCTCTGTGAATTCAAGGCCAGCCTGGTCTACATAGTGAGTTCCAGGACAGCTGGGGCTACAGGGAGACCCTGTCTCAAAAAGACCAGAAAAAAAAAAAAAGACTTATTCGTTGGGCATAGTGGTGCACACCTTTAATCCCAGCACTCAGGAGGCAGAAGCAAGAGGATCGCTGTGAGTCTGTGAGCTCAAGGCCAGCCTGGTCTACACAGTGAGTTCCAGGACAGCTGGGGCTACAGAGAGACCCTGTCTCAAAAAGACCAAAAACCTCAGAGTTTTTAATCCCAAGTGCTGGGATTAAAGGCGTGTGCTACCACGCCCAGCATATAAAATATTTTTTAAAAAAGTTTACTGGTATGTATGAAATACCCAAGAAGGCTGGAACGTCGGTACTGAGAACTGAACCCAGGTCTCTGAAGAACAGCAAGTGCTCTTTACTCCTGAGCCACCTCTCCAACCCCAGAAAAAAATGAAATTTTTGAATAACAGCCTCAGATGTCATAGAACATCCATCAGCAATCATCCCCCGGAGGTCACAGGCCCAATGAGGAAAGGCAGCTTGACCTCTGGCGTGGTTCCAATCTCTAAGATGGGATCGGGAAGCAGCAGCCCAGGACCCTCGGGTAAGCAACCTTGGTGTGTGCGTGCCTCAGCACTCACTGCCTATTGGCAGTGTCCCGGGGAAAGTGGGTCCTGTCATTGCCTAGCCAGGGCTTCTCAGCCATGCAAAACCAGAAGCCCTTCGTTTAACAATGGAAGACACTTTATTATTTTTTAAATCTTCTCTGAACATTTCAACTCTGTAGAAATCAAATGCAAAACATCTGCATTTTTAAATTAGCGGATACTTAACTACCGGGTCACAGCACTCTTATACAGTAAGACACACAGCTAGGAGGGGCATGGCCAGTCCAGTCATCCCTCAGTGGGAAGGAAGCACTCTGGACTTTGTCCTCCTCAGATCATTCGGCCATTCCTGTTCTACTCACTGTAAGTTCCGTGGCATCGCAGTAGGTTAAGAGTTCCTGTAATGCTGGAGCAAACTGGAAAGGGACAGCTAGAAAACTATAGCTCTCAGGGGCAGGCCAGGTACCGCCAGCTCTGACAGGTAGAAGGGAGAACAAAGATGGATGCTGGGAGGCCCATGGTAAGAAAGTTGGGTAAATTCTGCTGTATATACACATTGTACATCACCATGTGATCTGCCAGGAATCAATAAAAAAAAAAAAAAAAAGAGCCATAGAAGATGAAGAAAACCTTAAAAGCACTCCACTAAGTTGGAAGATCATCAACAAATTCACAGTGGCCTCAGGACTCAAGCCAGATTAAAACCTGCACCAGAGCTGAAAGTCTTTCTTAGGGAAAACCCCACTTGCACATAGACCCCGGAATAGTGCACATCACAGACACTTATGGCTAAAATGTGTTACCGGTTCACAAGGAATCCATAGTTTTGGATTCTTGCCTACTCCCGCTCTGCTCCCCAAAAGGGAAATCCAGAGGTTGGTAACAGAAACAAGGAGTTGGGACCTTCGGGTTTGGAAACCTGGAGGTTTGGCTGAGTATCGGAGGGGCATCTGTCTGATGGGCACACACTGCCTCGGCCCACTCCTAGTGCAAAAAAGCTGTGAGGGCCGCTGCCAGCAAGTCCTGGAAGCCAGTGAGGGCAGAGATGGGGTGGTGGGCACCTCACCTGATCACCCTTTGGAAATGAGACTCGAGGTTAAGAGTGCGAGGTTCACGCTCCACAGGCACCAAGACCAGAGCTGTAAATAAGAGGGTGAGGTCCTGGTTGTCACCGGGGTCATCATCTGCAGGCGCAGACCTGGGCACCCATGCCAACCCCCGCATGCACACTGGAGGTAGGTAAGTAATATCTACTGCAGGGAAGACAGGAGCTCTTCACCAACATTGGCTGTCAGTCCCCTACCCCAAGCTCTGCACTCCACCCTAGCAAGTGAAGGACACCCCAGGAGAAGGTGAGGCCTCTCTCGGAAGACTAAAGAACCCCGGACATCTTTATAAATAGCTACATCATTAATTTCTTTAACCATTTTGAAACATAGCAAGGTGAATACTCATTTAAAAATAAATCTCGAAACTCTGTATGTACAGTACAGTAAGAGGGGCGTGTGCAAACAGGACAGACACTGGTCCTGCATGGAGTCCACTTTCCAATGTGCTGAGGGGAGCTCGCCAATGCCATGGGCTGATTGAGTGGAGCTGGCAAGATGATACTCAGCTAATACTGGACTTGACTCTCCTCTTTGACATGGTTGGGGGAGTGAGGGGCAGGGACATCTGGCTAGGGATCCTTATATCTGGGAACAGGAAAAGAGGCGAGCCATCAGAGAGGCCCGATGTGGCAGGAGGGCTCATTTCACAAGCCAGCAGACCTCTAGCTCGCCACTCCTGGTGGGCATTTGAAAGTGGCCCAAAGGGCCCTTCCCAGGCCAAGCTGGCTCTTGAGTGGAAGAGAAAGGTGTGGCAAGAGTCCCAGAGCCCCTCTTTCAAGGAAACCAGAACCCAAACCAAAACCCAGATCAGCTGAGCAGGGAGTGGTCAGTGAAAAGGGCTGAAGGGAGTGCCACCCTGTCCCTCAGAGGTCAAGGCAGCCATTGGAGGGACTGGAGAGAGCCAAGGGAACTCTGTGTGGCCAGCAGCCCCTGCTACCTCGGTGGTCCAGCACGGGCCTCTGCCTCTGAGGCCACCCTGCTCCTCCCTCATGGGACCCAGCCAGGTCAGTGGTGTAGCCCTTGTAGCGGAAGGTGCAACGGGGTCTATCTGTACACGAGATGGGAGAACTGGGTGGACTTGTAGTTCAGCTGGTTGTTGGGCATGAACTTGTGCAGCTCGCTCTTTCTGCAGCAGGGATCGTAGTGGTAGGCGCTGAGGCAGGCGTCACAGGAAACTTTTGAACACTGGGTGCAGGTGTTGGTGGCGCCCGAGCGGTTACAGAAGCCACAGCGGGAGGTGGCTGTGGTGGAGGACTTGGGTTTTGAGTGGACCGGTGGCAGCCGGTCCAGACCCTGAGTCTGGCCCACATACTTCTCTCGAAGAGGTGCCCCATGTGCCAGGCTGTCATGAGCAGAGGCCTTGCTGGAGAAGGTGCTGGGTTTGGAGGCTGAGGGACAAGCAAGCAGGCTGTCACAGCGCTGGCAGAGGGAGGAGCTGCAGGGCAGGCCGCAGTTTTGGCACTTGGAGAGGGCAGACTCTTTGGTGGGGGGTGAGCGCTTGTGGTAGACAGAGTGGGCATCATTTCTGAGCAGCCACACATCCGGCCGCAAGGCGTCCTGCCTCCGGTATGTGGCCCTGGGCTCCGAGTCTGTGTAGAGATCCACATCATCTTGCGTGGAGAAGTAGGTACTGCGCAGCAGGCCCAGGCCGTTGACGGGGGAGGCAGACGGAAGGGCATCAGGGCTGCTGTGGGGGGAGCTAGACATGGTCAGTAGCGATGGGGACGGGCGGATGATCTCATCCTTCAAGTCATCCCCAACATCCAAGGCTAGGGGCTCCTTGCGTAGACTCAGTGAGGCCTTCATGGGGGGTTTCCTGCTCTCCCAGTAGCTTTCATAGGTGTCCACTGACCTGGAAGGCTTGGTCACACGGGGCTTGTAGTAGTCCTTGGCTGCCCGCTCGCTGGCCGACTTCTGGAGTGCCACACGGGCCATGGACGTGGTCAGGTGCTCCCGGCCTTCAGCCCGCCGCCGCAGGGCCTCTGAACAGCCTCGGGCGTCCTCTGTGCTGCTCTTGCGCTCAGTCACCACATCCAGCTCCGAATAGCCCTTGTCCTTCACCTGTGAGTGAATCTCCAGCATCTGCTCACACTCAACCTTGGCCAAAAAGAGCTCAAAGGAGACCATCTTGACCTGCAGATTCTCCACCAGCTCCTTGAGCTTGTATGCTGTCCCTAGCTCGGGGACATAGCCCATGAAGCTCAGGATGGCCCGTATGTCCTCCTCCAGCAACGTGGACTTGACATAGTAAACGAAAGGGCCCGTGTAGGTCTGGGGAAGTGGTAAAAAAGAGACATGCTACAGATGCACAGAAACCAAGAGCACAGTGGGATAAGCAGGAGGGGTGGGGAGCGGAGGGCTGGGGGCTTCTCGCTGCAGACCAGAGGTGGCATCACTGTACAAGGAGGCACACACCCCAGCCCTCTGAGACCAGGACCACTGCTTTCTGTGAAAGCTCAAAGGATCTGCCGCTCATGAGGAAGCTCAGAGGGTGCGTCTAAGAGGGTGCACCACACACCGTGGCACTGCCCCTTCGGGCCTTCTGTGATGGTCTCGAGAACATGCCAAGGGGACTGGAGAGATACCTCAGTGGTTAAAAGCACTAACTACTCTTGTAAAGGACCCAGGTTCAGTTCCCAGACCCACATGGCGGCTAACAACTATCTGTAACTCCAATTCCAGGGGATCCTACGCTTCACATACCCACACATAATTAAAAATAAGATATAAATTTAAAAAAAAAAAGCCCTTTAGAAAAAGGAAAGAAGGAAAGCCCACGCTAGGATGGAGCTGTGACAGAACACTGGCCCAGTCTAGGTTCAAACCCTAACACTGCAAAACTATAAAGGAACGTGCCAGAATTCCAACTTGGCTTCATGCATTCTCTACTCCCTCCCGGCTACAGAAGGCTCAGAACTTTCTCTCAAACTCTCCTTCCTCCCTCCCCTGGGGCTTCAGTCCATACCAGCTCCCAGCAGCTGGAAACCTGGGGGCTCTGGGAGCAGAAGATGGGGTGGCCAGGAGCACAAGGGCAAGGCAGGTGTGGGGCACACCACCCCAACCTCACCTTGATGCTGCGGAACTCCTTCTTCCATGGGTAGAGGAACAGGTTGATACCCACTGTCTCCAGCATGCTGAAGGCGCAGTGCAGGGCACGCAGGCTGGAGCTGCTCAGGGAGCGCAGGGAGCTCTCCACCACCTCATAGAACTGGATCAGCCGGAATCGATAGAAGGGGTCCACCTTGTGCAGGCTGAGCAGGGTGGCGGCTGCCACCCGCAGGCACTCATCACCTCCCGGCCGCTGCTTGCCGGGGGTGGTGTCCACTTTGCCCTCGTGGAACTGCACGTACTTCCGGAATAAGTCATCCTTGTACTTCGTATCCATTGAACTGGGCTTCCCCATCAGACCCAGGGCTACCTTATCTTTCCCATGGTTCTGGAGCTGGAGGCTGGCACGTCACAGGAAGCACTGGCATGGTACCCACGGACCAGGGGAGTGCTCTGGAAGGGGGAACAAGAATCTGTCACCCATCTGAATGGTGCCCACCCTAGCTTCTGCCGGCCAGAGCTGCCCTGGCTACTGGCCCCTTAGGGCAGGGTGCCCCATCTGCTCTTCCATTCAGCACAGCTACAGGACACACTCAGTACAAGGTGTCAGGGGAAAGCCAGGCCCTGGAGCTTCCCGAGCTCTCGGGATGACTAATGGCCCCGGAGGCAAAGTTCTGGGTGAGGATACAGCCTTGGCCTTGGCTTTGAAGAAAGGGGAGTTTAGGAAAGCCCCAAGGCAGAGTTAAACCTGAAAGGCTGCCAGGATGCCAGGCCAAGTGGAGGGCCGAGGGCGTGGCAGTGAGCTGACAGCAGGGAGGAGGTGCTGAGCTCTGACAGCATCCCTGAGTGTTCACCCTGAAGCCATAGGGCACAGGGGCTCCAGTGTTCCCTAAAGACAGGCAGCCCAGGAGCTGCAGAGCTCCTGAGGCAGAGCTGAGGTTGGAGCCCAAGTGATCACCAGAGTCCAGGCTTGGCCCACACACCCTTCTTCCTGGAGCCGAGCGGAGTCTGGCATCAACAGGAGGCTGGTGACACCCAGTAAGAGTGGAGGCAGTGACCAGAAAGGGGTGCAGGGTGGGGGCTGAAGGGTGAGGGCTGCAGGGTGAGGGGCAGTGGACTTGGGGGCATACCAGCAACCGCACTTTGTGGTAGGGGCTGGCACTGTATCTCTAGGCGAGCCTGCTTCCCCATATGACAGCCCGGGTCCCATCCCCAGCACCACACACCCAAATTTCATGCTTTATTTATTCAATGAGCCACAGGAAGCCATTGGGGTTTAGTGCAAGGGTCTGGAGAGGACAAGAGAGCAGGCAAGCTCCTGTCCTTCCCACAGGGCTTCCCCTTGGAGGGGCCACAGCCTGCTGAGAGAGTGGAAAGCTCTAACTGGGGCCCAGGAAGCACACAGCCTCATCTGCTCAGCCGCCTGTACACCACCTTGGGCAAATACAGCAATCCTCGCGAGCAGATCTAGATATACAGAGGCCCCTCTGCCACCAGGGAAGGCAGGGCAGCACAAGGCACTTGGGCCAATCCCTCAACCTCTTGGGTCCATTTCCTCACAAGTCCTGAGTCAGGGTGAGAACTGGCACACCCAGCTCTTTGTAGAGTATGGCCAAGTGAGCCCTTGACGGCCCTGTCTGCTCCAGGAAGGTGTCTGCCCTCAGGACACCAGGCTCTCTCAAGAAGACTCTGTCAGAGTGGGTAGGGACTATGCACAATGTCCTGCCTCTTCTAGCTAGAACTCACAAGCATGGGACAGTGGCCCACCTCATGCAGTAGCCTCTGCACCATGCCCAGACAGGGATGTAGCTCAGACTGACAGACTGTGGGACGTAAGGGGCTGAGCTGCAGTTGCAGGGGTCTGGGCTGGCCTATGGAACCCTCTAGCAGATCTGTGCTCAGAAGCATAGGAGTCCGGCAGCCACCAGGAGACCAACAGAACTACTCTGGCCTCTCTGGCCTCTGTAAGTCAGAGGCAGGATCTCGACAGTTTGGAGGAGACAACTGGAAGTACCAACAGTTGGATGAGAGGGGGAACATGCAACAGAACTGTGGACACATGCTGGGTGTGGTGTACTCATGCCTGTAATCCCAGCAAGACTGCTACAAGTCCAAGGCCAGCCTGGGCTACAGTGTGCAGCTGTTTCAAAAAACCAGAACAAACAAAAACTTACCAACCCAGTGAGGCCCCCTCCTCCCTCAACTGCCCACGAGGTCACCCAATACTATAGGGACTAAAGGACCTAGAGAGCACAAGAAGCCCACACAGGACCAGTGAGGCTGGAACCCTAGTCCTGACCAGGCTCCCTGCACTTACTCCCCTCACAGAAGTCTAACCTGTCCTTAAGCAAAAACCACACAAACCTGTTCCTCAGCCGTCAAGTTTTCTACCTCAGGACCTTTGCACACACCATCCCTGCTCTTTCTCTGACTTTTCCAGACCTCATCACTCAGGTCTCAGCTCCAATGTCCCCTTGCAGGGACCTCCTGCTGCCTCACTTTGAGTAACTTTCACCTTCCCATTCTGTCACATTATCCTGTGATAATTACAATCTGAAATTACTGACTTTATTCACTCATTTACTAGCTTCTTCTGTTTCTCCTCAGAACCTGTAAGTTCCAGAAAGACAGAGTAGGCCATGGTGCCCTACACCAATGCCAGTGTATAGTAGACATTCGATGCAACTGGAAGAATGTGTACACAGGCCGGGCGTGGTGGTACACGCCTTTAATCCCAGCGCTTGGGAGGCAGAGGCAGGCAGATCTCTGTGAGTTCAAGGCCAGCCTGGTCTCCAAGGTGAATCCAGGACAGCTGGGGCTACAGGGAGATCCTATCTCAAAAAGACCAAAATAAAAAAGAATGTGTGCACACACGACAGTCACTCTCACTGGGGTCAAGTCTCTCATTGGGGTCAAGACCCCCAGAGACAGCTGGAGTGAAGCAAAAGGCTCCAAGGATGGGGCTGGAGAGATGGCTCAGCGGTTAAAAGCACTGACTGCTCTTGCAGAGGACCTAGGTCGGATTCCCAGCACTCACATGGTGGCTACGAACCATCCTTAACTCCAGTTCCAGGGGAATCCAAAAGCCTCTGCTGACCTCCGAAGCATTGCATGACATGGGTGCACTCACATACATGCAGGCAAAATACTCACAGACATAAAAATAATTTTTTTTTCCTTTTTTTTGGTCTTTTTGAGACAGGGTTTCCCTGTAGCCCCAGCCGGCTTGGAACTCACTATGTAGACCAGGCTGGCCTTGAACCCAGAGATCCGCCTGCCTCTGCCTCCTGAGTGCTGGGATTAAAGGCATGCGCCACCACACCCAGCTGAAAGTATTCTTTTCTGCTTGAGTTTTGTCGTTATTAGTGACTTTTCTGGTTGTTTTTGATACACTGGTTTTTGAGAACCATTTAAAAAAGACTTGAAGTGACTAGAGATGTTGATCAGCAGAGGCACACCTGCTGAGAGTAATGGGACTCTGGGTTCCATCCTAAGAACTAGAAAAAAAATTTGTTTGAAACAGGGTGTCATGTATAGCTCAAACTTGCTATGTAGCTGAGGGTGATCTTAAACTCCTGTTCCTCCTGCCTTGACATTCCAAGTGCTTAAATAAAGCATTAAAAAAAAAAAAAAGCCAGGCATGGTAGATCACACCTATAATCTCAACACTCTGGCAGGGGCAGACAGATCCCTGTGAGATTGAGGCCAGCCTGGTCTATATGAGTTCTAGGCCAGGAACTCTCCCAGTTTTCTACAGGGAAACCCTGTCTCAAAAAATCAAAACATAAAATAAAAAAACATAAAAGAAAAGGGCACTGGAGAGATGGCCCAGCAGTTAAGAGCACCGGATGCTCTTGCAGAGGACCTGGGTTTGGGTCTCAGTACCTACATGGTGGTTAATAGCCACCTACAACTCCAGGGTACTCAACACCTCTTCTGGTCTCTGCAGGCACTGCAGGCAAAACACTCAAACACTCACACACATAAAACTTTAAAAAGATGAGGACTACCATGCCTCTTCCTAAGCACAGTTGTGATTTTTCTCCCTGGAAGTCAGCCTTGGGCTAGGATCAGGTGAGTACTTTCAAAGTGAGCTGCCCTCCAGCTGGTTCAACTCAGAGGCCTCAGTCCACACTCTTATTTATTGCTGATGGCAAACAACAGGGACAGGGGACCCATAGCATCAGTGGCTCACCACCTGAATATGAGGGTGGCAAACCCATCCAAGTACAGCAGCACATGCCTGGAATCCCAGCCCTCGAAAGGCAGGAAGATTGCCAAGCACTCAAGCCCAGCCTGGACTAATCTCTGAGTGAGAAGCATCTCAAACAGGCCTAGGTAGGGGAGGGGGAAAGCAAAAGAAACAAAAGCAAAGCCAGGCGTGGCAGCACATGTCTGCAATCCCAGTACTCAGAATGTTGAGGCAGGAAGGTCTGGGAATTAAAGGCACACTCGGGCGGCAGAATGAGACCTTGCACCAAAAAAAGGAAAGAGGGGTTGGAGGGATGGCTCAGTGGGTAAAGGGCTTGCTATGCAAGCATGAAGGTCTTTATTTCAGCACTCAGTGGGGTGCTAGGGCAGAGACAGGAGGATCCTAGGGGCTTGCTGGCCAGCCACCTTAAAAGTGAGCTCCACGTTCAGTGAGAGACCCTGTCTCAAAAAATAAGGTGGAGAGATGAAGACACTCAGCCCTGGCCTCTTGGACACATGGGTGAAGGCACCAGCATGCCCAACATACACCACACGAGAAAAAAAGAAAAGAATGAAACGAACGATGAACAGAGGCCCTGCTACCTGAGTACCAGGCTTCCAGCTGTAACTGCATCTTCCATTTCTTCCTCATACCATCTCTGAGGAAACAGGCTCAGCGACTAAGCAACACCCCCCCCAAAGCCAAATCGACAACAGAACCTGAGGCCCAACTTTCTCCCTTCAGCTCACTAACTTATCACTACAACTGGTACCAACTACACAGGGATTAAGGTGCAAGGGGCCTAATGTTCCCTGTTATTCAAAAGCCAATGAGATCCACAGAACAACCCCAATATTAAAGGAAACTGAGGCACACAGGGCCAACTCACTTGTTCTTCCTCACAGAGCTAAGAAGAGGTGGACCTGGGACTTGCACATGAATCTAAAAGTCATCTTGCTTCATCCTTGAAAGGTTCAGTTAGTCAAAATGCCCTGTGGCCAGGGAGCACAGCCTGATAGCAGCAAAAGTGCCATCTTCCCCCACCCCCCAAGAAGCGGCTGGGAGAGCCAGCAACCTCTCTATGATGTAAGCTCAAGAGCCCAGGAGAGAAGCTGGCCAGAGAGCAGCCAGCAGCGAAGCAGTTACATCATCCTTACTGAATACATTTCCTGAGAATACAGGCTGCCTTGTAGCTGATGGTAGCTGGTGTCTTTTCTGAGCACAGAGCCAGCAATTTATTCCCGGCACTCTGCAAGCACAACAAAAACACGTTCTCTGCAAAACACAGCCTGGTACAGGAGAGCAAGGCAGCCCGGCGGCAGAAGCTCTGAGCTTCTCCAAGCAACCGAAAGACTGGAACGCCAAGCCGTGCCAGAGGGGGTGGGGAGTGGGGCAACAAAAACAGATCTGTGAATATCCCAAACACAGAAGCAGGCGGATGCCCAGCACCAACAGCCCTGCGTGGCACCTCCTGCACCCACAATCTGGGCCCCTTTGTAACGCAAAGCAACGAAGACCGAGCTAGTACAGGGAGGGAGGCAGGGGCTTTTCCCACCACTGCTCTTTAAACATCGGCTGGGAAAGCAGTACTTGTTTAAAGCTCAACTGAATGGAACCAAAATGATGCTGAGTAGCCGAGCCCCGGCTTGGCTTTACCTCTGCTAGCCCATTCAAGCAGAGAGGTTCGCCATGGAAGCACCGGAAGGCACCTCCTCCCTACAACGGCAGGTGCCATCAGGTGCTATTTTGGTCGCAGTGTCCCAATCCACACGTTTACACAACTCTGGTCCAGCTTCAGCCTGTCCAAACAGGATCTGTGGGATGGATGCAGCTCTACCCCTCCCACCCCTCCCCACCCCACCCCTAGCATGCATTCTAGGCAGGAGGCTCCCAGACCCACCCGAAGCATCTCCTGCTGCTGGTGGAGCACTGCGGGAACCCCGCACCCCAACTGGCCTCGGACACACAGCCACCCGCCTTTCAAAGCTCTGAAAATAACCTGAGCAGGGCCTGTACCCGGTTTCCTCGACAGCTGCCTCTCTTGGGGGCTCTGGGTCCCCTCCCCTGCAGGGGACAGAACGTGGTGGCGGCTGTCCCCTGCCCAATGGTCCTTCTGCCTCATCCGAGGTGTACACGCCCCAAGCTCCCAGCTCCCCAGTGGTTGGTTCTTTCCTTGGCGGCGCTGGGGATGGGGACCGGGCCCGGGGCTGGCACATCCGACTCCCCATTCGTCTGCGAGGGGTGGGGAGGGCCTGTCCCTCGCCCGAGCTCTGCTGCACATGGGGCTGACGCAGAAGCCGAGCATCACCGCGCTTTCGACGGCCCCTCCCGGTCCCGGCACGCCCGGTGTAGCAGCCCGGACAGCCGAGGCTGCGAGGACCAGCGGCTCAGCCAAGGTCGCCCGCAGCCGGCTGAGGCGCCGAGGTCCGTCGGGGTCAGCGCTCGAGGGACCCGAAGCTGCGCGCTGCGCCCGCACTCACCCGCGGCCGGCCAGGAAGCGAGGCCGCCGGAGCCCGGCCCCGCACGGCTCCGCACGGCTCCACCGCTCCCGCCGGCTCCCGGGACCCACACCAGCACCCCGGCCAGCGGCGACCCGGAAGCACTCGGACCGGAAGTGACGAGAGAAGAGGCGGGCCTAACCAAAGGTTAGGCACCCCCCGCGGCTGCGCTTCCGGCCTGGGGAGGCGAGGCCGACACGCCAAGGCGAGGGGATAAACGGGAGGAGCCGAGAGGAGTTGATGGGAGGCGGCAGGCGAGCGGGGCTTCGCTGATCTCGTTCTCGCCCTAACGGCCGGTTGCCTCGCCTCGGGCGGAACCCGGAAGGCACTAACCGGAAGTGACGTGAGCTAGACGGTGGCTGGCTGGGTAGTCATGGAAACCGGTTCCGGGGACTGGAGATTGGTTTTTCCGCTTCAAGGACTCACCTCTAGTCCCGAGGATGGGCGAGCCCATGTCACAGATGGAACCGTTGAGGCTCAGAGCGAGTGAGCCGCCGAGATCACGCGAGACTAGAGCGAGTGCCGTGGATGTTCCAGCCCTCGGCGGTGGTTAAGTGTGCGGGTGTCGCGGCCGGGCGTGGTAGCGCACGCCTTTAATCCCGGCACTTGGGAGGCAGAGGCAGGCGGATCTCTGTGAGTTCAAGGCCAGCCTGGTTTACATAGTGAGTTCCAGAACAACTGGGGCTACCGGAGACCCTGTCTCAAAAAGACAGAAAAAAGAAAAAGAGTGCGGGTCACACCCTGCGTGATGGCGTCCGCCTGTCCCAGCACTGCAGAAGCAGGAGGACGGCCGCAAGTTCGAGGCTGGTCTGAGCTACACTACGAGACTGTGTCCCAATAATAATAATGCGAGTTCAGTAGGTTGGGTGATCCCAGCTATTAGGGAAACAGGCAGGGGAATCTCTGCAAGTCAGCTAGCTAGCTTGGAATTTAGCAAGACCCCGTCTTAAACAATCAAAAAGTCTGAGTCCAGTCGTCTGGGCCTGATGGTATGGGCCTATAAACCCAGCTATTCAGGAGGCAGAGGCAGCAGGAGCATGAGCTCAAGGCTAGACTGGGTTACAGAGATGAATTCAAGGCTAGCATGAATAACAGCCAGACCCTCTCAAAAAACATGAAAGCTGTAGCTCAGGGGTAGCTGTGTGTACACCCTGGGTTCAGTCCCCAGCATGGAAAAATAACAGGTCCCAACACCGTTCTTGACTGATTACTAGCAGTGTGGCCTGGACAAGCTGCATGACCCACAACCACAACCACCACCACCAGCCTCATCTTTCCACATGCTAAAGCAATAATAATAACAGCAGCAGCAACAGCAGCTGCCTGGTAAGGCTGGCCAGCATGAAACAAGTTAATACACATAAGCGATTAGTATAATAGTGGACAGACAATGCAGATCTAAATGCTCTTGTTTGAGATGGGGCTTTTAAACTCTGTACCTGAGCTGGTCTAAAATTTGCCATGCAGCCCAGGTTGACCTCATACTGTGCGATCCTTCTGCTTCAGCCTCCCAAGTGCTGTGATTACAGGCGTGAGCCACCACATGAAGCTCTTTTTGTTTTTGTTTTTTATATTTTATTATTTTTATTTTATGTGTATGCATGTATTGCCTGCATGTAGGTAAGTGCACCCGTGTCATGCAATGCCCGCGGAGGACAGAAGAGGCTATCAGATCCCCTGGAACTGGAGTTACGGACAGTTGTTAGCTGCCATGTGGGTGCTGGGATTTGAACCCCGGTCTTCTGCAAGAACAGTCAGTGTTCTTAACCACTGAGCAATCTCTCCAGCCCTTGTTTTTCTTTTATCCTGTTAAATTCAAGGAAATGACTTCTTGCAGTCCTCAGTTTCCCTAATATGGAAACCAGAGGAGGAAGAGTGAGCCCCTTGCTTTGCCTGCAGGATCCACACAGTCTATACTGGATCAGTCCAGATGGCTTGGCACTACAGTTCACAGTTTCTACTTACCACATTGCCTGTGAGCTCCCTGAGATGGACTTTGTACCAGGCACATGCTTAAGGCATTAGGCATCCTTTGTGTTTGCGGCTGGACTGCTCCCTCTGCCTCTTACCCTGTTTATCAGAGGCCCACAGCCCACTCCCCAGCCTGGTCTCTACCCTGCTCTTTCATCCTTCTGCCCTCGTCTCCAAGGCTACTTCCTGGTTGTGGATGTTTCCAGCACCTCTTCCCATCCTGGTCTTACTGGCATCCAGCCCCACCTCAGTCCTACTTCCTCTCTGGAGTCTTCTCATTTCTTCAGGAAAGTTTTTTTTTTTTTCTTTTTCTGTTTTTTGTTGTTGTTGTTGTTGTTGGTTTTTTGTTTTTGTTTTTGTTTTTTTGTCTTTTTAGCCCCAGTGACCTGGAACTCACTATGTAGACAGGGCTGTCCTTGAACTCACAGAGATCTGCCTGCCTCTGCCTCCCAAGTGCTGGGATTAAAGGAGTGTACCACCACACCTGGCCATCAAGGTCCTTTTTCCTCTAGCTCCCCACAATGCTCTTTCATAATTTTACCTCCCTTCTCAGCACAGCAGGACACGTGTTTAACCCGACATCTCCGCCAGATCCCACATTCCTATTCATCTGTATTCCCTTGGAGCTCCTTGAATGTGTGATCCGGAGCCATCTAACAGGTGTGCCTGGATAGCAGGATTTTCCCTTTGAGTCTCCGTAACACCAGCTAAATAAAGGTAGGAGGGCTTGTCTGAGGACTTGATATAATTATAGGGAAACGTTTTAAGAACCAGTAAGCAAATAGAGGCAATCTTTTTACATACCTGTTGCTGTATAAGCTCCATTATGGTCTGCATACTCTAAGCTTACAGCTAAGTGCCTCTCCTGTCAGCTATATAGTTTCTTAGCTGAGAAAAACTGTACTTGTCAGCTCTACACCAACAAAACTCTCAAAGCCAGGCAGGGGCCCAGTGAGGTGGTGCAGGCCTCTAATCCCAGTACTCAACTCAGGAGATAGAGGCAGGCAGATCTCTGTGAGATCAAGGCCAGCCTGATCTATATAGGGAGTTCCAGGCCAGAGGGGGCTACAGGGAGACCCTGTCTCAAAAAGACCCCGCCCCCCCAAAAAAAACATCATGGAGGGATGTTGCTTGAGAGATGGCTCAGTTGTTAAGAGTGCATACTGACTACATTACCGTACCAGGTGGCTGACAACTGCTTGTAATTCTAGCCTCAAACAATCTAACACCTTTTCTTGTCTCCTCACTCACATGCATATACACAGACACATACATATAATTAAGTAAAAAATAAGCCTTAAAAAAAAGTTGGGATGGGGGCTGGAGAGATGGCTCAGTGGATAAGAACACTGACTGTTCTTGCAGAAGACCAGGGTTTGAGTCCCAGCACCCACATGGCAGCTAACAACTGTCTGTAACTCCAGTTCCAGGGGATCCGACAGTTTCTTCTGTCCTCCACAGGCATTTCACGACATGGGTGCGCTTACCTACATGCAGGCAGTACATGCATACACATAAAATAAAAATATTTTTAAAAAAAAGTTGGCGGGGGCGGTGGCTGGAGAGATGGCTCAGTGGTTAAAAGCACTGGCTGCTCTTACAGAGGACCCAGGTTTAGTTCCCAGCACGAAATGGCGGTTAACAGCTGTCTATAACTCCAGTTCTCTTCTGACCTCCTTGGGCATTACACAACAACATGGATACACTTACCTATATACAGGCAATACACTCATACACATAAAACTTTAAAAATCCAAGCATAGCGTGGTGGCACATGCTTTGCATCCCAGCACATGGGAGGCAGAGGCAGGCAGACGTGAGTCTGAAGCCACCCTGGTCCATATATTAAGATCCAAGCTAGCCAGAGTTACATAGGAAGACCCTGTCTAAAAAAACAAAAAGCCAGGCATGGTGGTACACACCTGTAGTCTCAGCACTTAAGCAGTGGAGGCAGGAGAATCAATTCAAGTTTGTCCTTGGCTACCTAGTGAGTTTGAGGCCAGCCTGGGCTATCTGAAACCCTTCTCACGCCCCCACCCCCACCAAATGAAACAAAAACTCCGAGAAAGTGTGATGAGCTTGCGCTTTCACACGAGGACACAGAGAAAGTCCCTGCTACCCCGTGATTCTGTGGCAGCCAAGAGGGAAACCCTGGTGGTGGAAACTTGTGACATTTCCTGTCAGACAAGACCCAAAGTCAGAGAGCCACATTTCTCACCTTTCAGACAGATGAAGACCTGTGATTTCTGAGCTGGGTGAGGGGGAAACCATGGGAGCATCCTTTCCAGAATTTATTATGTAATGATTAGCAGATTATATAACGGTCACGTGACAACGACCAGGCACCTCCACTCTCCTGGAGCCAACAGTCTACCTACCTCTTTCTATTTTTTTTTAAATCATAAAAGTAGCACATGATTCCAACAGTAAGTGTGTAGAACAAAAGCAGAGGAAAGCCACCCATGACCTAGCAGTTGAATTTCTTGGCCTCTGTGAGAAACATGTGCTGGAAGCCTCCAGCTCCATACTGTGGCACTAAAACAAAAGTCGGGAATGGATTGTAAGCAGTGCTAGAATGCTGTGGCGTGCTAACCGTCCACCAGCAAAGGATGATGGAAATACACAGGACGCTACAAAACACTGCAAGGACCAAGGCACATCGAGTGACAGAAAAACAAACATCAACCAACACTGTCTGGTTTAGGTATATGTAAATGCCCAAAGCCAACTGCAGACAGGAATACAGGACAAATATCTATTTCCTCAATCGTTCCAGTCCCAGCATTCCAGAGGTTGAGGCAGGAGCATGCCTGTGAGTTTCAGGCCAGCCTGGGCTACATAGAGAAAACAGGGCTGAAAGAAAGGAAGAAAGAGAGAGAAAGAAGAAAACCAGCTAGGTGTGGTGATATGTGCATATAATCCCCTGGCTCAGGAGGCTGGGCAGGATCTCCAGAAGTTCTAAGATAGCCGGGGCCTCATAGTATCCAAGAGGGCTTCACATGTCCTAGGTTCAATCCCTAGAACTGAAAAAATAAAAAAAGGAAGATAGCAATTCCATAAATACACTTTTGCTCAGGGTTTGAGTCAGGGTCTCATGTAGCCCAGGCTGATACTGAACTCATGTGGAATTGAGGGTGAGAAGATGACCTTGAGCTTCCAGTCCCCTGGCTCTGTCTCTCACGTGCTAGGGTTACAGGCTTGTGCTACTAAGTCCAACCTTTTCTGGTTATTGTTGTTATTGTTTTGATTGGTTTTTATTTGATAACTGAGGCCCCAACCCCTTTTTCTGTTTTTTTTTTTTTAAGACAGAGTTTCATTTTAGCCCAAGCTGGCTTCAAACTCATAGCAA